GGCGGCGAGATCGGGGAAAAGATAGGGCAGCGAGAGACGGCCTATCGTAGCAGAGGCAGGCGAGGAGTAGCGAGCGACTACTGCATCATAGAGTGCCTTAGCAGTCTTGTGCTAGCCGAAGTGTGCGCGCTCATCTAACGGCAGGTGGCTGCGAATGGCTAGGCGGGCGTGGGCGTCACGAGTCTGCCACTGGGAGCGAGCTGTACTGTCAGCAGTGTCAGCAGGTGCTAGAGCGGTTCCGGACGCGTGGTCGTACAGCGAGACATCATCCTTAGCAGTGATCTGGAGGAAGAGGTGGAGATCGTCGAGCCAAGCATCAAACTGGAGCGAACGGCCCTCAGCATTGAAAGAGAGAACTGTGGGTGTAGCCATAGTGGCAGCAGTAGCAGTAGCAGTAAGAGCAGTAGCAGGAGCAGCTGTAGCAGGAAGGACAGCTGTAACAGCAAGAACAGTAACAGCAGGTGCTGCTGGTGGGGCGGCGCGGCTCGGTCAGGGCGGCGCGACTCGGGCGGCGCGACTCGGGCGGCGCGGCTCGGGCAGGACTGCGCGGCGCGGCTCGGCAGAGAGGGTGGGCCGGCGCGCGGGTCGAGGTGGCGGCCTACGGGCTGGCTGTGGCCTACGCGTGGGCGGCAACCTACGCATGCGCGGCGGCCTGCATGGGCGAGGTGGCGGCGCGCGCCGGTCGACGGGCAGCTGGCGTGCTACTCTAGGGGCCGCGCGAGGCGAGGGCGGGCTACACGTGGGCTGCGTCGACGGCGTGGGCGGCTAGGGGGTCGCGCGCACTAGAAGCGGGCCACGCGAGGGCAGCTAACGGGCTGCGCGGGCAAAAACGAGGCCGCGCGCGGGCAAAAACGGGCCGCGCGCGGGCTTCTAGTGGGCTACGCGACCAGAAAACGAGGCGCGCGAGGGCGCTAAAGCGAGAAGGCGCTCGAGGGCGCTAGCGGAAGGGCGGGCCCTTAGTTCTAGGTGGTCCTAGGTTCCTAACCTAGGCTCCTGATGCCATGTTAGAATGAGAAGTGTGTTCAACTAGAAACATTTGGGAGTACAAGTATGAAACCCTAGAGAAATGTACCCCCTAAAGGCTAACCCACTTCAGCCTACAGAACAGAAACATATACAATGTTTGACAGAACTGTCGGGTTCAGGTTGCGCGATGGGGGCTGATACCCTTGAGCGGGACGCGTATCGTTCCTCGCGTCTTGTCGGCCGGACCAGTTGCTCGGATTGGTCTGACGAGGGCGAATTCGATGCTTGCATCGATCCGCCAAGTGCCCGATGTCAGAATATTATCTTATTGTTCTAGCCTGTAGTGGGGTGCTCTATAGCGAGTACAACCCTTCTAGGGTTTGCTATTTGTATCCTCATTCTTGCTAGTTCAATCCTCTTTCTTCTTCTAACTTTTGACATGCTATCAGAGCAGGTCGATCCCCTTGGATCGATCCTGTGGGTGTGTCCCCACCTTGCTTCCGCTGCTATTTTTTCCTCCCGCCGTGCGCCCCGAGGCGCGCGGCGGTTTTCTGCCCGCCGTGCGCCCCGAGGCGCGCGGCGGTTCATTGCCCGCTGTGCGCCCCGTGGCGCGCGGCGGGCTTCTCCTCTACGTCGCGGCCCCGCCCCGGCCCGTCGCCGCCCGTGCGCCCGCTCGACGCGGCCCCGCTCTACGTCGCGGCCCCGCCCCGGCCCGTCGCCGCCCGTGCGCCTGCCCGGCTCGGCCCCGCCCTTCGTCGCGGACCCGCCCCGGCCCGTCGCCGCCCGTGCGCCTGCCCGGTTCGACCCGCCCTACCTGTGCGGCCCCGCCCTACGTCGCGGCACCGCCCCGACCGTCGCGGCCCCGCCCCTTGTCGCGGCCCCGCCCTACGTCGCGGCCCCGCCCTATGTCGCGGCCCCGCCCCTCGAAGCGGCCCCGCCTTACGTCGCGGCCCCGCCCCGCTCGTCGCGGCCCCGCCCCTTGTCGCGGCCCCGCCCTCCAACCAGGCTCGTGGTGGGCCCCTTTCACCACACCGCCTCCCCCCCCCCCCCCCCCCCCCCTGCCATTTTCCGTCGTCCGTCGTGGCGACCTGAGGGGGCCGCTTGCGGCCCCCGAAGGAGCCGCGACGGACGACGGGAGGGGCGAGCTGTGGGGTGGCGGGTATGGGGGTGGTCGGTGTGCCTTCCTCCCTTTCTCCTCCTCCTCCTTCGTCTCCCACTGCTGCAGCTGTCGCTGAGGGGGGTGGTTGTGTGGGAGACTGGGTTTAGGGTTTAAGGGGGGTGCGTGGGAGTAGAGCTAGTGGTGTAGCAGTGGGTGTGTATCAGGGGGGTGGGACTGTGTGCGGGAGGATGAGCGGAGGTTGCCAGTTTGTCGTCAGCAGCACCTGTAGTCCGGGGCGCTGTCCCGGTAGCCCAGTCGTAGCCAGCTGTGCCAGCCGCCCGTGGGTCCGTTGCCCGTCCGCCGCTATTTGAGCCGCGGGGCCTGTTACTCCTGTAGTCCGGGCGCTGTCCGGTAGCCGCTGTGCCAGTCTGCCTCCTGTTGCCCGTGTGTCTGCAGCTTCAGCCGTCGCCTCCTGTCTCCTCTCCCCTCACTCTCCCTCCTCCTCCTCACTTGCCCGTTGTGACTACCACTAGCTTTGCTTATAATTGTGAACTCTAAACTATTTCTTCTTGACCTTGTGCTCAGAATGCGTGGTGACATTGTGATCCACCCTGAGCTTGTACTGTTTTGCCTGCTCTGCTGATTACACCCCACTTTGGCTATGGGGGTGTGTCAGAATATTATCTTATTGTTCTAGCCTGTAGTGGGGTGCTCTATAGCGAGTACAACCCTTCTAGGGTTTGCTATTTGTATCCTCATTCTTGCTAGTTCAATCCTCTTTCTTCTTCTAACTTTTGACACCCGAAATTCCTGCAAATCTTGCAGTAAGGGATATGGCCGTCGTTCTTCCGTGTTGTCGGCGTAGAAGGCGAGGCGTTCCTTGTCTCGTCGCTGCGCTGGTCGCTGCTGGTCCGTATCCCTTTGTTCGACGAGAAGGGCGACGCAAAGGGCGGCCTCCGAGATGACCCCCTGCTGTCGGAGAAGCGCCTTGCAGGGCCGCCACTCTGGGCCGAGCCCTTGGAGCACGATGTTCACGAAGATCTCCTCAGAGATTGTGCTCCCAAGTTTTGCGATTTGATCGCGTAAGCTCCGACAGCGATTCAGGTAACCATTGGCCTTCTCTCCTGGTGCCATCTTCGTCTCCAGTAACTGCTGGAGTAGGCGGCTTGACGACACTGAGTCCTTCGGTTGATACACACCGTTCAGGTGGCGCCAGGCGTTTAGGGCTGGAGCAGGCGAGGTCTTGTATGAGCGAATGCCCAATTGCTCCGTCGGCGACATATTCCGCAGAAGAACGCCGTACGCCATCAGGGACTCGTTGTAGTACTTGGTTCTTGCGTCGTCAGTGTCCTCCGTAGGTCCCGAGTAGCTCCCGTCAAAGTAGTGAAAAATCTGCGCGTTTTGCAGCAGCAGCTCCAGCTCGAAGGTATAGAAGTCTCTGCCGTTAAAGCACACACTTGTCTTTATTTTTAATATGCTCAAAAACCTTGATTGCGCAGAGAGAACTGCTTCATCGCTGGGACAGGGAGTCTTTGGTGTTGAGCCATTTGTGTCAAGAGAGAAGCCTTGCGGGGCGGAGTTCTGGTCGTTTGAGGCCGGTTGAGAGGGTTGGGATGAAGTTCCCGCGTCGCCATTCCGCAATGTTTGAGCCCTTGCTTCAGGCTCGTGAGTCGCTGAAGCAGTTGTGCGAGGACGGCGGAAGGGATTGTAGTCGTTTCCTCGCTTGTCGCAGCCGGGTTGGGCTGCGCTTGAGCCGTCAGATTTGTCTAAACTCCTGATCGTCCGGCCATTCTTACACGCGATCGTGTGCCGGGCGCCACTTTCCGAATGTCGTAGATTTCGGAGGTGGCAGTGCGAAAGATTCCCGAGTCGCTCTCATACCATGCTGCGATCAGAAGTTGATCGTTCTGAGGATCACCTCAGGAAGGTTCGCACACTTCTAGTCTAGCGATGGTGGGCCCTTGATCTCAATAGCTGAGTAAATGTAAATGCTTGAGATGATTAAAAGTATGCAGAACAAGAAGTATAAATAAGAATACAAGGGGAATACGAAACGACCTAGCTAGCCATGTACTCTAAGGGGTACATTCCCTTATTACAGCGAAATCCAACCGTGCGACTCCAGGTGGTTACGAAACTGTTTGGGCAGAATCCTCGGTACTGCTGCTGCCTGATGCTCTCTGCCCGACGGTCCAGATGCCTTTCGTAACTGTGTGACCCTTCGCATCTTTCATCTTCAGTCTCCATAGTGCGTGCTTCATTTGCTGCGGTGAGGAGTGTACAATAGTAATTCAGTAGTCACTATTCGTAACATGAACAACTTCAAATATTGGCACTAAGACTTTATAGGTCAACAAATACAACACAATGTCTTTATTCCCTAATCATACACACATATTGGTAGTACAACAGAGTTTGAATACTCCAAGATATCAATAAAAATAGTTACTCGGCCCAACACCAAGTACCAGCACTTTAGGTTACCGAATGCCTCTACAGTCCCGTCAATTGGGTGAAGACACTGCCCTACGTGGCCCTACCTGGCGCCCAGTCTTAAAGCACATGAGAAGGATCCAGCCCATACGCTCACAAGCAATCCATCCTTGTTCAGTTACTTGGCTTGCTCCCACGCTTTTGCCACCACTTGGCATGGAAGCTAGATTTGCCAAGGCTTCGCAAGCAAAGCACGATTGCATGCTTTACCTGCTCGCATGCCTTGCGTGAGGAATAGAGATCCATGGAGGGAACTGGACATGGCCCAGACCTCAGTAAGAGTCCATGAGCGACCTAAGGCTCCCTATGTGCCAAACGTGCACATGACTGCAGACTGTGTAGTATCAACCTTGCTGTGAGTCTGTTACTGTGAGTCTAGTACCGCGCGTATGGTACTGCAGGATTGATTCTTGTACTGAGTGTGGGTGTAGTGTAGATTGAGTCAGTCATAGAGGCCCTCCTGTTCCCACACATTGACGAGGAACCGAACCATCTCCTGCACGGCCACGAGCAGCAGATACACACATGCAGGAGCAGCAGAAGACACACACATGCAAGGGCAGCAGACTGTAAGACGCGTGGATGACAGCAGAAGCAAACGGACAGAGGTGTTTTCGTCCTTGGTGCAAGCCAACCGTGTATGCACATTTCACACATGCATGTTGTATAAGCATACGAATTTGAGATGTCTCAAAACAGAGCCACCCATATGTATGCATCTCACACATGCATCTCGTGTAAGAGAAAACGAATCAGCTCCCAATGCGGGGATGCACGAGAGGGAGACAGGCATGAGCATGGCGGTCGTAGGCAGAGCAGGGAGAGGGCCTGTTAGAGAAGAGAGTTAAACTGTTAGGAAAATGCAAGGGGGGCCTGTTAGAGAAGAGAGTTACACTGTTAGGAAAATGCAAGGGATTGCAAGGGGGGTGAGTGGGAGAAAGGTGAGGGGGATGGGACTTTTACAGAGGGGAATGGGCTTACTGGGAGGGGAATTGGCTGAGGAAAGGGGCGACTGGTGGAGAGCAAATCATCGTATGTACTCCCTGGCCTGATGGTGTGGGCAACATGATGAAGGAGGGAGAGCGGGAGGGAGGGAGGGCAGGCGGGCGGGAGGGAGGGCAGTGAGACAGAGGTTTCCAGGCACAAACGACGGCGAGCAGAAAAGTGTGTGTCATGGGTTGGGTGGGATGAAGAAAACGGTTGACAACAGATACTAGCACACGCTTCATTCAGAGATAGAGAGAGTGGGTGTGGGGGGAAGACAGGAGAGGGAATTAATCCATTCTCTCATTGGCCTCACTTCTTTCTGACTTGTCTCCTCACATAAGCTTTTCCTCTCATCACATAAGCCTTCTCTCGTCACATAATCCTTTCTCTCGTCACATAAACCATTCTCTCGTCACATAAACCATTCTCTCGTCACATAAACCATTCTCTCGTCACATAAACCATTCTCTCGTCACATAACCAGCAGCAGTACCAGCGCACCTGCTCACAGGGCCAGCCGTCCTGGGCGGGCCACTACCATCACCCCGCACATCATATCATAACAAGGTAACCTTTGAGTCGACTCAAAAGTTGCACGCACGCACGCTCTCACCTGATCACAGGGCCAGCAGTCCTGGGTCTGTCACTCCCATCACGCCGCGCATCATACCCTGCTGCTCCTACTGCTCCCGCTGTTCCTGCCGCTCCGCCCACCCCTGCTGCTGCTGCTGCTGCTCCTCCTGCTGCTGCTGCGCGTTCTGCTCTCCCTCCCGTGCCGCGCAGTGTGTTCCCGTCCAGCCACTGCTGCCGCCGCTCCGTCCACACCAGCAGCCCTGGTGCCCGGAGTCACAGACACGTTGGGAAGGAGACGATGGGAAGCAAGTTAGGAGTGTATTGCTGAGCAGCATGAGTTAAGCTGGGATGGACAAGCCATGGGTTGCTGTTTCACTTGACTAAGTATGAAATTCGGACAGGTGATTGCTGGGGAAACAGAAGAGGAAGAAGACGAACTAAATGAAAGCAGACTGACGTGGTTTTGGGGAGGTGACGACAGGAAGGGGAAACAGAAAAAGGAGAAGGGGTAAGAGACGCACAAACATGGAACTAAAGTCCCACCTTCATTCACAAAAGCATCACTGCTCCCTGCGCTGCCCCCTGCACTCCCCCCAGCACTCCCTGTAACCGTCCGTCCTGCAGTGCTCCCCCTCCCTGCAGTCAAGCCACCGTCTGTCTTTGAACCACCGGGGACTATAGGAGGAGGAGGAGGGGGAGGAGGCCGGGACTGGGTACTGGGTACGGGTGTGCGAGCTTCCTTAGGAGGGATTGACGGACGGGCAGCGTTAGACGCAGCAGCCGCTGCAGTCCCGGTAGCAGCAGCAGGAACGGGAGAAGGAGAAGCAGCAGGAGCAGGAGCAGGAGCAGGAGCAGGAGCAGGAGCAGGAGCAGGAGCAGCAGAAGCGGCAGTGGGAGATTCTCGACGGCTGACCTCAGCACGTTGTGAGCCATCTACCCACACGTCCCCTGTCCCTGGTTTTACCCCGCCCTCTTGCTTGCCCGTTTCTCCCCGCCCCCTCGCTCCAGCCACTTTTCCATCAGTAAGCACCGCCCCCGCGCCCCCGCCGCTGCCACTCGCTGCTTCCCCACTGCCGCCCCACCTTCTCGCCTCCTGCTTCATCCTCGCTCCTGCAGCAGCAGCACCCGCAGCAGCGGCACCAGCAGCAGCGGCAGCGGCAGCAGCAGCGGCAGCTATGGTGGTTGTGGGCGGGCGGGATGCTGCTGTGGTTGATCCGCCTGCTGCTGCTCTCCCGTCCTCTCCTTGCCTGGCGCTTCCCTTCGCCTGCACGCCTCCCCCTCTTCCTCCTCCCGCTCCCCCTCCTCCTCCTCCTCCTCCTCCCTCGCCTCCTGGTGCTGCCCTGTTCACCTGTCCCTGTCCCTGCCACACTTCTCTCACTGCGTCTTTCCTTGCTCCCCTTGCACCTTCCGGACCACTGCTGCCGCCCCTTCCCATCCTCCCCCCTCCCCTTCTCTCCTCGCTTCCACTCCCACTCCTTACGCCCCTCCCTCCTCCCCTCTTCTCCCCTTCATTCCCTCCCTCCCTTCCCCTCCCTTCTCTCCCCTCCAGCCTGCCCGTCCCTTTCCCTAAAGAGCCAGACCCGGGACCTTCTGATGTTGCTGCCCGAACAAGAGAACCTGACCGACGAGCTGCCCGAAAAGTTATACCCGAGAGAAACGGGTGTTTTACAGCCGCACTGTGCTTGCAGCTTTCAGAGCAGCGTGCATTGCTCCTCCCTCTCGCGCCCACGCATACGCGCACGCCCGCGCCCGCGCTCATCCCACACGCGCTGATGCTTGCGCTCATGCTCCCGCTGGCGCCCGCGCGAATCGCTGCGCCCGTACCCGCGCCGATCCCTGCGCTGACGCCGGCGCTACTGCTGCGGATCTCCGGGAAAGTTCCGCTGTGGGCGGCGGAATGGCGGTTGGCGGAAGGGAAGGGGGGTCAGAAATGCGGATGGTGTTAGCAATGCTTTCAAGAGTGTTGGAGAAGGAGGAGTGAAATGGGGTAGGGGGAGAAGGGTAAAGGGCGTGGGATGGTGAGCTTTGGAGACTGAGAGACGTGAGTGAGAGAGGAGAGGGAGGCAGGGATGGGGGGAATGCGGGGATGAGAGAGGAGGGAACGAGAGTGTGTGCGGGGACACGATAGAGCGCAGCGATAGAACGCATGGTCCCATTTGTCGACCCAGAGGCAACAGAATCGGCTGATGAGACATATGAAGCGGAAAGACATTCGTTACTGATGGTGCACGAAGCGGCGAGTGGAGCCACGGAAATGCATAATCTCCGCACAGCGCTCCGGAAACATGTACTCAGGCTAAGACGTCTTATGAATCGAGGAGTTTATCTCAGGACGGTGCTTTAAAAACACGACTACCGCACAACCCGTGCTCCAAGCTCATCTCATTCACCTCAGTCACATTTGACTGCGTACCAGAGAGCAATCAACGCGAAGATCTCATTATAGAGTCGACTCTAAACTCGTCTCCTCCAACACCCCGTGCGCACCTGAATGCGTACCCGAGCGCGCTCGACGCGACGAGCGATCCGCCGAGAGCCATGCTGGTATGCGCGGGCTGGAGGGAACAAGAGCCAGCCAGCCCGCGACGCGCGCGGTTCACGCGATCAGCAAACACGCACTACCACCTAATAGCAAGCACTATCACCTATTCGCAAGCAGTATCACCTATTAGCAAGCACTAGCACTAAGTAGCAAGCACTGGTGTGCATGGATATCTCTACTGCGTCGGTGCCAGGATTTCCCGTGCGATATTTGTTGCGGCTGCGAACATATACATAGAACATTCGCTTGAACGGAAGTGCATGTACCTGCTTGTTCTGGGGAGAAATGGGGAAAGGGGGGACGAATTGTTCAACGGTCACTGTGTGCTTCGAATTTGGTGAGAAGGTTGTTGGCGGGAAGCGGTGGCACATCGATGAGAAAATCTGTGGTTTGTACTCGTTAGAGCGAGCTCGCTGGGCTAGTATTCGAGAAGTTGCTTGTGAAGGACCGTCCTACAGTAGATTGTGTTCCTCGTTTAACCATAGAATGATTACTACCACTAATTAAAACCGCGTCTCATATTTTGTAGTGTATTACACTTGGTTGGGCTAAAGCGCATGTGATTGGGTAACGATAGGCGAGATTTGTGACGAGCAGTTTGGAAAACACAAGCGACCCCTCGGTTTGTATACGCAAAAGCCAAACAAGTCCCTCGGGCATGGAAAGCTCCCACACCTAGAAAGCAGATCCGGCAGTTCCATGCGACCAACTGAAACGACAAGACACAGGGGCTGTTCGCCAGCACCATTATAGCAAAAACAACGGGATAACGACGGGATCAGGAATGTTCCTCTCGCCTTCCTGATCCCGTCAGTTAGAGTTTGTTTACCTCCGTCAGCTGGGTCAGCCCGTGAAAAAAGTGCCGAGCCTCACCTACCGTCCAAACCAACAAACAAACTGGGCGTCTGGCGAACGCCCATTTTTTTCCACCCATTCTACGTTTCGACGGCATATGGAAGCGGGGACGAAACTTCGTCCCCAGGCAAAATACCATCCCCTAGCCATGCCATCGTCATGCCGCGTTTTTCAAAGCACAGCGGTGGCATAGCGGACGCATTGCTGTTCAGAGGGGAACCCTTGAGCAAGCCTGCAGTTTGACAAAGGGGGGTTCGTATACCCCCCATTTTTCCATCCCAAACACACCTTCGAAATGCCCCCCGCACATAACTTGGTCGTCAGCACGAGGTGGCGGGGGTTCTGTTTGAGCGGGAGGTGTTTTATTTGCGCTTTTTACCTACGCTGAGCAAATTTTGGCCAGCGGGCAGCACAAGTGTCAGTGAGGCTAAACTTTCGCGCCACAGGGGGGAAGTGTCAAACTTATATGCTATAGTCTGTGTAGGCTGTAGTGGGGTAGACAATATGGGGTACAACATTTCTAGGTTTTCCTACTTGTACCCACCTCTTTCCTAGTTGATTCATTCCTCATTCTTCACATGGTATCAGAGCAGGTTCCCTCGTGGGAACGCTTCTCAGGGCCCACCACTGAACTCGATCTCTTTTTTTTCCTGCCGGAGGCGCGCCCCGTAGGCCGCCCTCACGTCGCGCCCTCCTAGAGGCACCTCGCGCCACCCTTAGCGGCCCCGTCGCCACCCCTTACGGCCCCGTTGCCGTCCTTTGCGGCCCCGTCGCCGCCCCTCTAGGCCCCTCTCGGCCCCTTCGCGGCCCCGTCGCCGCCCCTCTAGGCCCCGTCGCCGCCCCTCTAGGCCCCTCGCGGCCCCTTCACGGCCCCGTCGCCGCCCAAAGCGGCCCCGTCGCCGCCCCTATCGGCCCCGTCGACGCCCCTCGCGGCCACGTCGCCACCCTTCGCGGCCCCGTCGCCGCCCCTAGCGGCCCCATCGCCGCTCTTCGCGGCCCCGTCGCCGCCTCTAGCGGCCCCCGTCGCCGCCCTTCGCGGCCCCGTCGCCGCCTCTACCGGCCCCGTTGCCGCCCTTCACGGCCCCTTCACCGCCGAGCCACCCAGCAGCCAAGCAGCCGAGCCGCCGAGCCGCCCAGCAGCCGAGCCGCCCTGCCGTCGAGCCGCTACTGTCACTGCGGAGACGCTGCCACCGCGGTTACAGCCCTGTTCCTATCGGCGCGCCCCGGCCCTACTCACTCGGACTGGTGAGATCACTCCTTGCTAGACCACTGCTGTCATAGCTACCCCCAAGTGTTCTTACCTTTGATGCTGAGGGTCGTGCTGTTGACTTTGAGGTCTGGGTCGATGACCTCCAGCTTCTCCTACAGTGCGATAGGGCATACGGACTCTCCCTGTTCGATCTCACCTCTGGTGCCTCTCCTGCCCCGCCTACTGATGCTGACAGCACTGTTCGCTCACAGTGGGCCACACGCGATGTTGCTGCCCGTCTTGCTGTGCGTCGCCACTTACCGAGCACTAAGCGTGCGCACTTTAGTCAGTACAAGAGTGCTAAGACCTTGTACGATGCTGTAGTTGCACGCTACTCTTCCCCTGCCACTGCTGCTCTTAGCCGCCTCATGCTGCCGTACCTGTTCCCTGACCTTGCTGCCTTTCCCACAGTCGCTAACCTCATTACGCACCTTCGCACTAGTGACACTCGCTACCGCGCTGCGCTTCCTGCTGAGTTCTGTGCCAAGAACCGCCCCCCCCATGTACATCACCCTCTACTACATAGTCACCCGGCTCCCTGACTCCCTTCGCTTAGCCAGGGACCACTTCCTCTCAGTTTGCCCCACCACACTCACCGTTGTCCTCCTCGAGGAGCGCCTCCTAGCAGCAGAGAAGAGCATAGTTGCTGTAGGAGCCTCTCGTGGTGACCCTCGCACCCCCGTCTTTGAGGGGTGTTCCTCCTCCCCCCTCTTGCCCTCTGTTGCTTCTGCTGCTGCGGCCGACCTCGTTGGCTTTGAGTCGGTCGGAGCTGCGTCTGCCCCTAGTGGGAGATGTCAGAATGTTATTCTCTAGCCTGTAGTGGGGTGATCTATAGCGAGTACAACCCATCTAGGGTTTGCTATATGTATCCTCATTGCTGCTAGTGAACCTCCTCCTCTTTGCCTAAACTTCTCTTGCCTAGCTAGGGCTTACCTAGCTATGGCTCCTTCTTGTGCCTACTATTCTAACATGGTTTCAGAGCACTCACGCTCCCGGCCTGTGTGCCCTACTGCTGCTTCCGCTGCCCTACTCTGTGTCGTGCGCCCCGTGGCGCGCGACCTCCAATTTTTCATCCCGCCGCGCGCTCAGGGCGCGCGGCGGTTTCCTGCCGTGGGGGAGCCCGCGCGCGCCTCGCTTGTACGTCGCGGCGCCCTGGGGAGCACGCGCGGCCCCCACCCTGCACGTCGCGATGCCCTGGGGAGCCCGCGAGCGCCCCGCCCGTCCCTCGCGACGCTCTGGGGAGTCCGCGAGCGCCCCGCCCGTCCGTCGTGGCGCACTTGGGGGCCCGCGAGCGCCCCGCCCGTTTGTCGCGACGTCCTGGGGAGCCCGCGCGTGCTCCGCCAGTTCGTCGCGGCGCCCTCGCGAGCCTGTGCGCGCCCCTTCAGGCCGTCGCGGCGCCCTAGGGAGCCGCGCGCGCGTCCCCCTCGCCCGTCCGTCGCGGCGCCCTGGGGAGCAGCGCGCGCCACCCCCCTCCACCCGCACAGCCCGTCCGTTCAAGCGCCCTGGGGGTCGCGCGCTGTCCTCCCCTCACCATCCCCCGCGCTCCTGCCCCTATCCCACCCGTTTTAGGGTTTTGGGGGTGAGGAGTGTGGGGGTGATGGTTGTGGGGGTGTCGGTTGTGTGCGCCGTCCCCTTCTCCTCCTCCTCCTTTGTCTCCCACTACTGCAGCTCTCGCTGAGGGGGGTGGATGTGTGGGAGTCTGGGGTTTAGGGTTTAAGGGGGGTGCTGTGGGAGTGGAGCTAGGGTTTGAGCAGGGGGTGTGTGATAGGGGCGTGGGGCAGCTGGGGGAGGTTGAGTGGAGGCACCAGTCTTGTCGCCAGCAGCACCAGCAGTCCGGAGGCTACAATCTCCGGTAGTCGCCAGTCGCCTGTGGGTCAATTGCTCCGGTCTGGAGGCTGCAATCTCCGCGGAGCCAGCTTCTCCTGTAGTCTGGGCCTTTGCTTCGGTAGCCACTGAGCGAGCAGCTCCTGTGTGTCTGCAGCTTCAGCAGCCGCCTCCCATCTTCTCTCCCCCATAGTCTCTCCTCCTCCTCACTTGCCCTCTGTGATTAGCTCTAGCTTTGCTTACCTTTGTGAACTCCTGCTCTATACCTGCTAGCTCATTGTACTAATTACACCCCACTTTGGCTATGGGGGTGTGTCAGAATGTTATTCTCTAGCCTGTAGTGGGGTGCTCTATAACGAGTACAACCCATCTAGGGTTTGCTATATGTATACTCATTGCTGCTCGTGAACCTCCTCCTCTTTGCCTAAACTTCTCTTGCCTAGCTAGGGCTTACCTAGCTATGGCTCCTTCTAGTGCCTACTATTCTAACAATAGACGCCGCACCGGCAAGGGCAAGGGGGGCAAGGGGGGCAAGGGCTCTGGAGGGGCTGGCGGGGGCGGTGGAGGTGGTGGTGGTGGCAGTGGAGGGGGTGGGGGTGGTGGTGGGAGTGGTGGCGAGAGTGGAGGTGTCGGTGGCAGCAGTGGAGGCAGAGGAGGCGGCGGCGGTGGCGGAGGGAGCGGAGGCGGCAGAGGTGGCGGAGGCGGCGTAGGTGGCGGAGGTGGCGGCAGCAGCGGTGGAGCTGGTCGCGGCTCTGCGCAGAGGAGTGGTTCCGGTGGTGGTCTGCGCCAGCAGCAGCAGCGCACTCGTGAGACCCCGTCCCCCCAGCAGCTTCGTGAATGGTACGCTGAGCGTCAGCGAGGTGGGGGTACTGGTCCCTGCACCTACGTCCTCCGTACCGGCGACCGCGCTGGTGAGCAGTGCGGTGGCCCGCACTCCACCCAGCGCTGCTTCGGCCGCCTGACGGACGCGTGGCGTTACCAGTTCCCTGACGCCACTGAGACCCCTCGCTGGGGAGAGCTGTCTAGGGCAGGGGTTGCTATCTTTGATCTTGATTATGATGCTATTCTTGCTGCCATGTATGCTGTGTCTATTAGTGATGAGGGTGACTGTAACGTGTGTGTTCCGCCTGACCCGGGCATTGAGGCTGCTGCTCTAGGTGCTGGTGAGGCTGTTGCTCTAGGTGCTAGTGCGTCTGCTACCCGACGTGTTGGTGAGTCTGCTCTCTCAGGTACCACGTCGGCTCAGGCCTTACACACCTTCACCCTTGACTCGGGTGCTTCCCGCTCCTTCTTTCGAGACCGCACCACGCTTACGCCGCTTAGTCGGCTGGTTGCGGTCTCCCTGGCGGACCCCTCTAGGGGACCTGTCCTTGCTCGCTTCTCCACTGTCTTACCGTGTCCGGCAGCCCCCTCTAGCACCCTGTCAGGTCTCTACCTCCCCTCGTTCTCTACGAACTTGGTGAGTGGAGCTGATCTACAGGATAGGGGGGTTGACCAGTTCACTCCTGCGAGTCAGCGGGTGACCCACTGTACGTGTGCTCGGACGGGCCGACACTTGGCCACATTTACCCGTCGGCCGGGGTCGAGCCTGTACACACTGACTACTGAGTCTCCTCCGGTTGCTGAGTCTGGTCAGGTAGCTGCGTCGAGTCAGGTGTTTGCTGTAGCGTCCAAGTTTCCTTGTCTCTGGTCTCCCTTGGTCTCTCCCTCCCCTACCTCCGGGGCCTGCCCCTACCTGGGTCCCCTGCGTCGAGGGGCGACAGGGCGCCGCCCCTCACTCCTCCGAGTTTCCTCCGGCAGAGGCTCCGCTACAGACTCTTCACATGGACGTGTGGGGCCCCGCCCGCGTCCGTGGCCAGGGTCACGAGCGTTACATCCTGTTGGTGGTTGACGACTACTCGCGTTACACCACGGTCTTCCCCTTGCGCAGCAAGGGTGACGTCACAGAGGTGTTGATCGACTGGATCCGCGCAGCTCGTCTCCAGCTTAGAGAGAGTTTCGGCTCGGACTTTCCTGTTCTGCGTCTGCACTCTGACAGAGGCGGGGAGTTTTCCTCTGCCCGTCTGGGAGCCTTCTGTCATGCATAGGGCATCCGCCAGACCTTCATGCTCCCGGCCTCTCCACAGCAAAATGGGATTGCTGAGCGCCGCATTGGCATGGTCATGGACGTCGCTCGTATGTCCATAATCCATGCGGCTGCCCCCCCCGTCTCTTCCCCTACCGCACTGCGCCCCTTCCCCCGCCGCCGCTCTTCCTTGCGCCAGGTCCTCCCCCGGTAGACCCCCTCCCCCCTCAGGGTTCTGCCCCGTCAGGTGTGTCCCAGGTAGACGCAGTCGAGCCTGTCGAGGTAGCTATTGACTCTGGTGCTGCTAGAGGTGCTGAGCGTGCGGGTGCCGGGTCCGGAGGTGCTGAGCCTGGGGGTGCGGAGCCTGGGGGTGCTGAGTCTAGGGGTGCGGAGTCTAGGGGTGCTGAGCCTGGGGGTGCTGAGTCTGGGGGTATTGAGCCTGGGGGTGCTGAGCCTGGAGGTGCTGAGCCTGGGGGTACGGAGCCTGGGGGTGCTGGGTGTGCTTGTGTGGCCTCTCGCAGTGCTTCGTCGAGGCGGGAGCTACTCTCTCCACAGGAGCTGCGCGAGTGGTTTGCACGGCGCTGGAGCCGTGCTGCTGGAGCTGGAGGTGCTACTGTTGTTGCTGGTCCTGGAGGTGCTCTTACTGGCGGTACTAGAGCTGCTGGGACTTCGGGTGCTGCTGGGGCTGCTGGAGTTGGTCCTGCTGGACGTACTGCAGGAGCTGCTGGCGGTACTGGAGCTGATGGTCTAGTTGGAGCTGGGGCTGCTGGAGCTACTGGAGCTAGAGCTGCTGGGGGTGTTGGCACTGGTGGTGTTGCTGGCGCTGGTGCTTCTGAGGGTGCTGGGGTTGGCGCTGTTGGAGCTGGAGGTACTGCTGGTGCTAGTGCTGCCGCTGGGGGTAGTGGTGCTGTCCCTATTGGTTCTGGAGGCGCTGCGCGGCCGCGGCCGTACTTCGTTCCGCTCCTTGAGCAGGTTCTTGGTCTCCCGCCCTCCACTGGTCCTGCTCCTCCCTTAGAGTGTCCACAGCCTGTCCAGTCGCCTTCATCGTTACAGCCCACCTCCCCCCTGCCTGCTCCTTCTCCCTACACTGGTCCTACTGGAGGTCTTGCTGAGCGTCGTGAGCCTGCGTCTCGTCCTGCATCGCCTGTTCGTGCTGCTCGCACTAGTAGTCGTGCTCCGTGTCCGCGTCCTCCTGCGGTCCCAGGCACACACCAGATGGCACTGCGTCCTTCCACTGCTCCTCTACGTGTCCTATTACCGTCTCCTTCAGAGTCCTCTCTTCCTGTTCTTGCTGACCCAAAGTCTGACTCTCTTTGTGCTGCCAGTCCTTCTGTCACGCGTCTCCTGGCTACTGTTGTCACTAACCCTTCCTTTGAGTCCACTGCTGCGTTTGCCCTAGTTGCTGAGCTTGTCGACTTTGCTGCTCGCTGTCGTCTAGACAACGTTGCTAGTCTTGTTGCTGAGTCAGAGTTTGTCTGTCCTCTGTTCCGTCGGGGGTGAGTGTGCTCTTAGCACGGACGTCCTTGAGGACAGGCAGGAGGAGTTCCAGTGTTTTGCTGCTGCTTTGCCTCATCTCGTGTCCACGCTGATTGCCCCTGAGGGAGACCCGGATGCACCAGACATCCCGACTCCTCGATCGTACGCTGAGGGAATCGAAGGTCCCTACTCCTCATAGTGGCAGTCAGCCATGGACGCAGAGATGGCTTCCTGGAAGTCCACAGGCACCTACGTCGACGAGGTTCCCCCACCTGGGGCGAACATCGTCAGTGGTATGTGGATTTTCAGGGTGAAGCGGCCGCCGGGTTCTCCGCCTGTCTTCAAGGCGCGTTACGTGGCTCGAGGCTTCAGTCAGCGGCAAGGAGTTGACTACTTTCAGACCTTCTCTCCCACCCCGAAGATGACCACTCTTCGTGTGCTGCTGCACATAGCCGCTCAGCGCGACTACGAGCTTCACTCTCTTGACTTCAGCACAGCTTTCCTGCAGGGCAGCCTTTACGAGGAGATCTGGCTGCGCCGCCCACCTGGCTTCACTGGGTCGTTTCCTCCTGGTACCCAGTGGAACCTCCGGCGGCCAGTCTACAGTCTCCGCAAGGCGCCCCGTGAGTGGCACGACACACTGAGGTCTACACTTGCGGCTCTTGCGTTTGCTCCTTCTACAGCCGACCCGTCGTTGTTTCTGCGCACCGACACCTCTTTGCCGCCGCTCTACATCCTCGTTTACGTCGACGACTTGGTCTTTGCCACTGCTGACACTACTGGACTCGCCTACGTGAAGTCCGAGCTGCAGAAGAGACACACGTGCACAGACCTGGGTGAACTACGCAGCTACCTTGGCTTGCAGATCACCCAGGACAGAGCACAGCGCACCATTACCCTAACTCAGTCACACATGGTGCAGCAGGTCCTTCAGCGCTTCGACTTCACGTACTCCTCGCCTCAGGCCACTCCTCTGTCTACTCGCCACTCGCTCTCAGCTCTGCCTTTGGATGAGTCTGTAGAGTCGAGTGGCCCGTACCCAGAGCTTGTTGGCTGCCTCATGTACCTGATGACCTGCACACGACCTGACCTTGCATACCCTCTTAGCATCTTGGCACGCTATGTTGCTCCTGGGAGTCACCGACCAGAGCACATGGTTGCAGTGAAGAGGGTGTTGCGCTACTTGTGCAGTACGTCGGGCATGGGGCTAGTGCTTGGAGGGCGACGTCGAGTGGTCCTCACAGGTCACGCAGACGCTTCTTGGGCTGACGACCAGGCTACGCAGCGGTTGTCACTGGGTTACACCTTCAGCCTTGGCTCCGGCTCTGTTTCGTGGCGGTCTACCCGCTCGTCTTCTGTTCTCAGCTCCAGCTGTGAGGCTGAGATCTACGCGGGGGCCATGGGTGCACAGGAGCTACGCTGGCTCACCTACCTGGTGACTGACCTAGGAGAGCCGCCTCGTTCTCCTCCAGTTCTGTACGTAGACAACAAGGCCATGCTGGCCTTGTGTCGGGAGCACAGACTGGAGCACAGAACGAAGCACATTGCTCTTCGCTACTTCCTTGCTCGTGAGCTGCAGCAGCGTGGTCAGCTGTGCCTTGCTTACGTGGCCTCTGAGGCCAACACGGCTGATATCTTTACCAAGGCACTTCCGCCTGGTGATCATCAGCGCTTCTGTACGATGCTAGGTCTTGTGCCTACTTGGCCTCACTTGCTCACTTCTTGACGTTGCTTGTACTGTGATCTTTCTATACCTGCACTTGCCTGTTTACCTTTATATATGATCTTGCATGTGAACTTGCCTTGTGGCCTTGCTCTTGTGCTCGGAATGTGTGGTGACGTTGTGATCCACCCTGAGCTTACTTTGCTTTGCTTGACTGGTCTTGTGACCTCTTGTTCTCCCCCACTTTGCCTATGGGGGTGTGTCAAACTTATATGCTTTAGTCTGTGTAGGCTGTAGTGGGGTAGACAATATGGGGTACAACATTTCTAGGTTTTCCTACTTGTACCCACCTCTTTCCTAGTTGATTCATTCCTCATTCTTCACAGGAAGGTGGGGATGGACCTTCCCGATGCGGTTTCATAACTTCCCCTTTCGTGTGTGCGAAGTTTCTCAGGCGGCATTACGCCCAAACCTCGGAGGAGGGTTCCGCCCCCGTTTCCATATGCGGTCGCGATGCCGATGCCATCGTTTTCTGTTCAAGAATCGATGTGCTGGCGAACAGCACCACAAGTCGCCCACATTCACCAGGAAAAGCAGAGCAAAACTCTCAGCCGTTAGTTTTACTACCTCCGCTTAGGACGCGTCACAGGTGAAACATCGATCCTGCACAAGATCGGTGTTTCGCATTCACGAGTCGTTAAGTGCTGGTTACCATGTTTCATCATCCGTCGCCATTGTACAGTTGTCCCCTCGGAGTCGGACGATCGATGTGCCCTTGTCACACATCGATCGTGCAATTTCATCCACATCGGGCAATTTTGCCCCATGATTTTCTGATCATGTCACTTGGGACTTGCGGTGGGCCCGCGATTGCAAAAATTCAGTCGTGGCACACCGATGTGGCGATCGATTTGGCAGGATCGGTGAAAATCCCCGATCCTTCCTTGGTTTTTCAAATGTGACGCGTCCTTAGTATGGTTCCTTGGTATGTACCTCCACACCAAGATGTTGGCCTTATCACAGCAACAGGGATATAGCAGTCAATTATAGCCCTTTTCGGACCAAATAACACGGGACTTGCGAACAAATTTTGGTTGCGGATAACGCACTAATTGGCGAGTAAGGAATCGTCCAATGTGGGGAACCGTCGCAACGCCATCGCTTGTTACGAAGTAGCCAGTTCGTGACATTCCGAAATGCGTTCTAACTATGCTATTTACAGCTATGATGTCGCATTTCAGAATGCGCACGCCAAGCGCGAGTACGTGAAAGGTTCTGCCGTCCTGGGTTTGTGTGCGAGTGGCATATGTATGGGGTGTGTGTGAAATCTTGTTTGCGTGCGCTTGTGTGCGCGTACGTGCTTGCATGCGTGCGTGCATGCGTGCGCGAGCGTGCGCGTGCGTGCGGTTGTGCGTGCATACGTGCGTGCGCGTGTGCATTTGCGTGCGCGTACGCGTGCGTACGTGCGTGTATGCGTGCGCACGCGTGCGCGTGCGTGCGTGTGCACACGCGCGTGCGTGCGTGCGTGCGCACACGCGCGTGCCTGCGCGTACGGGTGTGTGCGTGCGTGCGTGCGAACGCGCGTGCGTGCGTGCATGCGTGTGTGCGTGCGCGTGCGTGCGGGCGGGTGTGCACTTGTATGTATTCTGATCCTTCTCTCCCCTTCCCTCTCTCCCCTCCCCTTCTCTCTTCTTCCTTCTCTCCCCTTCCCTCTCTCCCCTCCCCTTCTCTCCCCTTCCTTCTCTCCCCTTCCCTCTCTCCCCTCCCCTTCTCTCCCCTTCCCTCTCTCCCCTCCCCTTCTCTCCCCTTCCCTCTCTACCCTTCCCTCTCTCCCCTTCCCTCTCTCCCCTCCCCTCTCTCCCCTTCCCTCTCTCCCCTTCCCTCTCTCCCCTTCCCTCTCTCCTCATCCCATTCCGTCATGTCCCGTCCCATCCCGTTCCGTCATGTCCCGTCCCATCCCATTCCGTCACGTCCTGTCCCGTCCCCTCACATCTCGTTTCCTTCCCGTCCCGTCCTTTCTCGTCGCGTCCCTCACGTCCTTCTCATCGCATCCCGGACGTCCTTCTCACCCATTACCTCCCCTCCAGTCCCTTCCCTCCCATTCTCGCACCCGTCCCGCCACACCCCTTCTCGTAGCATCCCGTCCCGTTCCTCCCTTTCCCATCCCGACTCTCCCCTTACATCGCATCATGCCCATCCCTTTCTCTTCGCTTCCAGCCATGTCGCGTCGCTTCCTGTAATGTCGCATCGCTGCTTATCCAGTCCTAACCCTCGCCTTTCCGTCGCGTTTCTTCCTATCTCATCCTACCCCTCGCCTTTCCGTCACGTCGCTTCCTATTGTGTCAAATATATGCATATCATTATCTAGGCTATATTGGGGATAACCTTAGGGGGTACACAAAACTTTCTCGATACCCTAGTCTTGTACCCAACCCTTGACCCAATCAACTAGTTCTTGCCTTAGTTCTTAATATGGTATCAGAGCAGGAGGTCTCTAGGACCTACGAATCGGGCCCACCTAACTGCCTGCCTTGCCTACTGCCCGCGCGCGCCTCGGCTGCAGCGCGCGTCACTTTTTTTTCGCGCGCGCCTAGCCTAATAGCGCGCGCGCCATTGTTTTTAGCGCGCGCCACTGCTATAGCGCCGCGCGCCGGCCCGCGTCGCCCGCGCAGCCCGCGTAGAGCCCGCGCAGCCCGACACCGCACGCAGTCCGCCGTCGTGTGCAGCCCGCCGTCGCCCCACGCGCCTCGTCTGTCACCAGCGCGGCCCGCCGCTGCGCCGCGCGTCGCGTCGGCCGCCTGCGCGGCCTGCAGCTGCTTAACGCGCTGCCTTAGGAGCTCGCGTGCGGCCGCTCCTGCCTGCTGCCTGCTGTCTCCTGCCTGCTGCCTGCTGTCTCCTGCATGCTGCCTCCTGTCTCCTGCCTCTGTCTTTGCTTGTGGCCTGGTGCCTTCTGCCTCTTGTCTGCTGCCTACTGCCTCCTGCCTCTGCCTACTGCCATTATGACGACGCCTAATGTTCTCGCGTTCGAGCCTGACGGTCGCCCCATAGAGTTCACTGTGTGGTTAGATGATCTCCAACTGTTCCTTCTGACCGATGCCAAAGAGGGCGTTTCATTGTTCGATTACGTGTCTAGCACTGCCGTTGCTCCTGCTGCCGATGCTCCTGCTCTCGAACGCTCGCAATGGCAAACTCGTGATGCTGCTGCACGCCTAGCTATTAGGAACCATCTGCCGATTACTGAGCGCGCGCATTTCAGCTAGCACAAAACTGCTAAGAAGCTGTAGGATGCTGTAGTTGCACGCTACTCCTCCCCGGCCACTGCAGCCATAGGTCGGCTCATGCTACCCTACCTGTTCCCCGACCTTTCCTCGTTCACCACTGCTGAGGACCTCATTTCCCACCTGCGCGCTACTGACACTCGCTTTCGTGCCGCCCTTTCAGCCGAGTTCTGCACCGCTAACCCCCCCCCCCCAATGTACTTCACTCTCTATTTCCTCGTCACCCGCCTCCCTGACACTCTTACAAGGACCACTTCCTCGCGCTAGACTCCCCCACTCTCACTGTCAACGACTTCGAGAAGCACCTTCTCGCAGCAGAGAAGAACATCCTCGCTGTAGGTGCTGCTCGTGGCACTCCTCGCTCTCCCCTCTTTGAGGGGTGCTCCCCCTCCCCTCTCACCCCATCCTACGCCTCCGCAGCTGCTGCTCACGACTACCTTGGTGCTGAGGAGGTCGGAGCTGCTTCTGCTCCTAGTGGGAAGCATTGCAGCGGCAGGGGCAGCAGGGGTGGCAGGGGCGGTGGGGGTGGCGGTGGAGGTGGCAGTGGTGCAGGCGGCGGGGGAGGTGGAGGTGGTGGGGGTGGTCGGGGGGGTGGAGGCGGTGGAGGTGGTGGTGGGGGCGGCGGAGGCACTGGGAGCGGTGGAGGGGGTAGCAGCGGCGGTGGGGGAGGAGGGAGCGGTGGTGGTAGTGGTGGTCAGGGCCAGCAGCAGGCGCAGCAGCAGCAGCAGCATCATCAGCGCCAGACCCCAACTTCCCAGCAGCTTCTTGACTGGTATGCCGGGCGTGGGGCTTTTGGGGGTCCTGGTCGCTGCCCCTATATCATTCGCACAGGTCCCCGCACTGGTCGCCAGTGCACACGTTATCACACTGAGCAGCGCTGCTTCGCTCGGCTTAGCGATGCCTGGCGCGCCAAGTTTCCTGATGCTCCTTAGTTCCCCAACTAGGCAGAGCTACTTAGGCGTGATGTACCTATCTTTGATCTTGACTATGAGGCTATTCTTGCTGCTATGTATGCATTGTCTGTTAGTGCTGAGGGTGACTGCCACTTGTGTGTGCCGCCGGATCCTGGTATAGTCCCTGGTATAGCGCTTGCAGCACTAGGTGCTTGTGAGTCTGCTCCCCCTGGTACTGCGCCTGCACAGGCCTTGCACACTTTTACACTGGTGCTTCCCGCTGTTTCTTTCGCGACAGTACCAGAGTCACTCCCCTCCCTGCACCTGTTCCCGTCTCACTGGCTGACCCCTCTGGGGGCCTAGTGCTTGCACGGTCTTCCACCGTGCTTCCGTGTCCGGCGGTCCTGTCTGGTGAGCTGTCTAGTCTCCACCTCCCCTCGTTCTCTACGAACTTGGTGAGCAACGCTGTCCTCCAGGATGCGGGGGTTGACACCTTCACCCCTGGTCGGCAGCGTGTGGCGATTTGCACGTGCTCCGAGACCGGCCGCCACCTGGCCACGTCCACTCGTGCGCCAGGGTCCAGTCTGTACACCCTCACCACTACGTCACGCTCCGCCCCTTTGTCTCCCCAGTTATACGCGCCTGCTCAGGTAGCTACCCAGTGTGAGTGTCGCCGGCTGTCGCACGACACTCTCCTGTGGCACCACCGCCTTGGTCACCCCTCCCTACCTCGCCTGCATAGCATGCACTCTCGCTTCCTGGTCTCCGGTCTTCCCAGGTCTCTGCCTGCCCTCACTCCCTCGCGTGCGCCACCCTGCATTCCTTGTGTCGAGGGGCGGCAGCGCGCCGCTCCTCACTCCTCCTCGTTCCCTCCCACAGAGGCTCCCCTGCAGACTCTCCACCTGGACGTGTGGGGCCCAGCCCGCGTCCGTGGACAGGGCCATGAGCGGTACTTCCTGCTGGTGGTCGACGACTACACGCATTACACCACGGTCTTCCCCTTGCAGTGCAAGGGGGATGTCCCTGATGTTTTGATCCCCTGGATCTGCGCTGCTCGTCTCCAGCTCCGCGAGCGGTTCCAATCGGACTTTCCTGTCCTGCGTCTGCACTCTGACAGAGGTGGTGAGTTGTCGTCAGACCTCTTGGCGGCCTTCTGTGCGGAGCACGTCATCCGCCAGACTTTCACGCTTCCGGCCTCTACGCAACAGAATGGGGTTGCTGAGCGCCGCATTGGCTTGGTCATGGAGGTCGCTCGTACCTCCATGATCCATGCGGCTGCCCCCCATTTTCTGTGGCCGTTTGCGGTCCGGTACGCCGCGCATCAGCTCAACCTCTGGCCCCGTGTCTCCTTGCCGGAGACCTCGCCCACACTACTGTGGACGGGGAAGGTTGGCGATGCGCCGCGTTTCCGGGTCTGGGGTGCCCGTCCCTTTGTCCGCGATACCACTACGGACAAACTCTCCCCTCGCGCCGTTCCTTGCGTCTTCCTTGGCTTTGTCCCTGGCGCGCTTGGTTGGCAGTTTTACGACCCCGCCTCGTGCCGTGTCTTTGCGTCTCAGGACGTCACCTTTGACGAGTCGGTCCCCTTTTACCGCCTCTTCCCCTACCGCACTGCTCCTCGCCCCCTCCCGCCGCTCTTTCTCGCCCCGAATCCTCCCCACGTAGACCCCCTCCCTGCGCCAGGCCCTGCTCCTTTAGGTGTTTCTCAGGTAGACCCTCCCGTCCCTGCGCCTGTTGAGGTCACTGGTGACTCCGGTTCTGCTGGGAGTTGTGCTGTCCCTGGGGATGCGGAGCTTTGGGGTGCGCAGCGTGGGGGTGCTGAGTCTGGGGGTGCTGAGCGTGAGGAGCCTGAGGGTGCGGAGCCTGGAGGTGCTGAGCCTGCGCGTGAGGAGCCTGGAGGTCCTCAGCCTGGTGGTGCTGCATCTGGGGGTGCTGCGCCTCCGTGTGCGGAGCCTGGGGGTGCTGGGTCTGGGGGTGAGTCGCCTGAGGGTTCTGAGACTGCTGTTACGCGGTCTCCTTGAAGTAGCCGTCTTCGTCCGCGTGTGCCTCTCACCTCCTAGCAGCTGCACGACTGGTACGGTCGCCGTCAGCGTCGCGCTTCTGCACCTCAGGGCTCTACTGCTGGGGGTTCTTCTGCTGGCGTCACTGGAGCTGGGAGTGGTGCTGGTCCTTTGCCTGCTGGAGGTGCTGGTGTCACTGGTCCTGGAGGTGCTCGTACTGGGGAAACTGGAGCTGCTGGGGCTGGCGGTGCTGTGTCTGAGGGTACTGCTGCTGGTGACACTGCGGTTGGAGACCCTGGGACTAGGGGTGCCGGTTCTGGGGGTGCTGCACCAAGAGGGGCTGGAGGTGCTGGGGGTGCTGGAGCTGCTGGAGGTACTGGAGCTGCTGAGGGTACTGGAGCTGTTGGAGGCGCTGGAGCTGCTGGAAGTAGTGGAGCTGCTGAGGGTACTGGAGCTGCTGGAGGCGCTGGAGCTGCTGGAGGTACTGGAGCTGCTGGTGGTGCACGAGCTGCTAAGGGTGCTGGAGCTGCTGGTGCTGGTGGCACTGCACAGCCGCGCCTGTTCTTTGCTCCGCCGTCTCCGTCGTCTCTGCCACCGCCTGACTCCGTGCTTCGCCAGGTTCTTAGCCTCCCGTCGTCTACTGGTCTTCCGTTACAGCCTGGCTCACCTCTGCCTGCTCCTTCTCCTTACCCAGAGCAGACAGGGGGCCTTACTGAGCGTCGTGAGCCTGCGTCGCGTCCTGTCTCACCTGTCCGTACCAGTCGTCGTGTTCCTCGTCAGCGTCAGCCGGCTGTCCCCGGCCCTTCCCTTGTAGTCCGTTGTCCTTCCTCTCCTCCGCAGAGTGTTCCTCTGCCGTCTCCTCCTGCGTCTTCTCTGCCTGTCGTTGCGGACCCTAAGTCTGACCAGTTTCGTACTGAGTTCCCTACTGTCACGCGTCTGCTAGCCACTGTTGTCACTGACCCGTCGTTTGAGTCCACTGCTGCACCTGCCCTAGTCGCTGAGCTTGTCGACTTTGCTGCTGCCTGTCGTCTAGACTACGCTGCTAGTCTTGTTGCTGAGTCTGAGTCTG